CTGGACATGTCCAAACCACTGTCCCTCCTCTGGACATGTCCAAACCATCTCAGTGTGTCCTCTCTAACTTTATCTCCCAGGTGTTCAACCTGTGCTGTACCTCTGATGATCTCATTCCTGATCTTCTCCATCCTTGTCTCTCCTAAGAAGAACCTCAACATCTTCATTTCTGACACTTCCAGTTCTGTCTCCTGTCTTTTTGTCCATGTCTCTGTCTCCAGACCATACAACATAGCTGGTCTCACCTTTGACCTTTGCTGACACCCTTTTGTCACAAATCCCTCCTGAAACTTTTCTCCATCACTCCATCCTGCCTGGACTCTCTTCTTCTCCTCTTCACCACACTCCCCATGTTCCTGGACAGTGGACCCCAAGTCCTTGAAGTCCTGCACCTTTGTGACCTCTGCTCCTTGTAGCCTCACTGTTCCACCTCCTCCCTCTCATGCACACATGGACTCTGTCTTACTGCAGCTGACTTTCATTCCTGAAGAAGAGAAGTGCAGCAGGACGTCACAGGATGTCACGCAGCTTCAGCTCTGCAGCACGAAGCACAAATGTTCTTCTTGATCAATTACACTTCAACAACTGAACATAGAAGTTCTAAAATAATCAAAAATAACTTTTAACACTTTTATATTTTGTGATTATGATGATTTTACGATGTGACAGACTCTGAATTTTATGTTGGAAGACGAAAGTTGATGGGTGCATCTGGACAGCAAAGGGTTAACCTTCACACAGCTGCAGCAGGAGAAATGTGTGGCAGAGAAGGAGGGAGCTTCCCCTGTACTTGTGGGCTGCACACTTGGTGCAAAATCATTTAAAGTAATTTTTATTAAATAAACAACTCATGGCTCATCCATCAATCAGACAGTTGTGTCACGTCCAGTCTTACGTTGAAAAACCGCGACGTAGCGAGGGACTGCTGTGGCACCATCTCCACCAGCACCCCGTGTGTCAACAGCGCCGGTGGTGGTCGTTGTTAACCCGGGCCTCGACTGAGCCGGCACGGTTTCACTTTGATGAACTTGCATTTTAGTTTTGGCAGAAGTGTTTAACATCGGATGCTCTTCCTGACACAACCCTCATCAATTACCCGGGCTTGGGACCAGAACCAGAGGTACACTGACTTGTGCTCCCTAAGCTCCCTGGTTTAGGAGGTCCCGATATTGTTTAATAAACGTGTTTGTAATAACTGTGTTTACAGTTTAAACACAAATTACAGAAACTCCCTTTACTCTTTTATAATTGAATGAGTCTCACTTAAATCCAACTGAGTTGCCAAATGAAGTGATTTTATAAAGTTCTGATGCGAGTTGTTTTTAATTATTGGGCCATAAATGTCACTTCATTCACTATAAAAAGTTACAGCCTTATTTAATGAATGAAATCAGTAGAGTGATGTTTTGTTGCCAGCCATTAAAGTTGCTTGTTTACGTTCAAATCTCGGGACGTTCTGGAAGGACATGGAGTTGGTAAAGTGAAGCCCGGGTGTGAACAGAGAACGATGGAATCAGAGAGAAGATAAAGTTCTTCTGGGAAGAAACGGATGAAACTGCAGGAAGGAGTCGTTCAGGGAGGAGACGGTGAAGGAGTTCAAACTAAAGATGGAGCCGAGATCATGAGCTCCTAACGGGAGAATTTCAGGAACTGGTCGTTTAACTACACAGAGGAGACAAATAGTTGTTCTTTAACTCAACTTTTAAAAAAAACATGAGTTTGAGGTGAAATGAATTTATTGATGATGTAGAAATCGAGTCGAAGCATAAAAATTCAACTGTCTAAATAAAAAGTTTTATCTGTGCCAAAATAAAAACTGGTGAACAGCTCTGATGTGGGTCCGTCAGACGAGTGTTTCTTTCTGTGAACCGAACCGCGTGGTTCCTCGTCGTTTAAAGGTTGAAAACTTTCTGAAGCAGCTTCAGGTGGTTACAGTGAAGTCAGTTTTCTTATCGTCACTTTAATCAGATTTTCTTTTCTGTCCAGAACCCCCAAAGCGTCAGATCTGGAAGGGGGAGGAGGTTCTCGCTGACCTGCAGCTCAGGAACCATGATAGGAACTCCAGTTTGGACCAGGAGGAACAACAGCCTCCAGTGGAGGAATCAGAACCTCCATGTGATGTTCCAGAAGCTCCACAGATGAAGGAGGAGGAGGAGGAGCTCTGCAGCAGTCACGATGAAGGGCAGTTTTTACTGAAACATGAGGCTGAAGCCTCCATGGGGACTCCTGCTCACGTGGACAGAGACCACTGGGAACCAGACCCAAACTGGGACCAGCTCCTCTCTCAGAATGTTCCTGTACCTGAGAACCGGGATCAGGGAGGAATCTGGACTGAAGACCCGAACACCAGAGGTCACAGAGACGATCTGGACTGTCTAGAACCAAAGACGCCCAGAAACACCCCCTCAGGGGAAAACCAGTTTTCCTGTGATTTTTGTGGTAAAGGTTTCTTTCGGAACAGTATTTTAATGAGTCACATGAGGACCCACACGGGTGAGAGGCCTTTCACATGTCTGACTTGTGGAAAAGGTTTTAAGTACAAATATGCCCTGAACACCCACATGATCAGCCACATGGGAGTGAGACCGTACACCTGTCTGACCTGTGGGAAAGGCTTCAATAACAAAAGTATTCTGACGAATCATTTCAGAATTCACACGGGCGAGATGCCGTTCTCCTGTCAGATCTGTGGAACCAGCTTCAATCAAAAGTCCAATTTAGTCCGACACATGAGGATTCACACGGGGGAGAAGCCTTTCTCCTGTCATGCCTGTGGGAAAAGTTTCAACCATAAATGTAATTTAATCCGGCACATGACAACTCACAGAGGTCCGAAGGTGTAACCTCAGACCTGCGGGTTGGTGGAGTCGCCCGTGGGCCATGCAGCCATGTTTGATTTGAAAATCACAACCTGAACTCGTGTTTGCAACTCAGCTGTCGTTTTGTTCCTGGTAAATAGAAACATTAAAAATGACCCAACATGTTTGAGTCGTTCTCACCATTAACAGAAAACAAAGACCCCAGTAGGATTCAGGTCAGTTTGTCCCTCCACCAAAGCATAGCTTTGCTGTTCTGGTTGATTCATATTCGTATTTTCAAAGTATGAAAGGTAATCGTCTGTCTGGTCACTTCGTACCCACCTCAGCAGGTGCCTCCATATTTATGGTTTGATCAACTGGAGTGAACCCCCAGGAAGTAAAAACTAGATTTCATTCATTTCAGCCTGAGATAAGATGGCTGCCACAGCTGATCGACCTCGGCTAACGTAAAAATGACTCTGTGGTAGTAGCTGAGAGTTATCCTCAACAAATGTTGTGTGGGTGAACAGATTTTTTAGGATTTGTTGGCTCACTGTAAACTGGTATAATGTCTTATTTTACAGATGTTCAAAATGTTCTGAGCCTGGTTCTTAAAGATTTAACATTTTAACCGATTGGTTTTTAAAATGTCGGGACAAAATAAATAGCTTTTTGATGAAAATATGAAAAGTCAACACTCTTTAATTATGATTTTACAGTCAAACTCAGACTAAAATTCTCACAACTCCACGGTTATCCTTTTAAGAGTGTGGCATTGTGGGTAATGTGGTTTAATTAAACCCCAGAGGAATGTTTATTTTTTCTATTCAACAGCAGGCGTTCAGATAAATTCATTTTTTTTATGTTGATTTTCTCGTAATTAAAGATCCAAACTCTTTTTTTTTAATTTTCTTTTTTCTTTATATAAAGTTCCAAACTCACGCCGTCGTCTTTGTTCTTCCTCATCACTGCAGTCAGTAACAAGTTACGACGGCCGACTGAATGCCACGCTGAAGCTGAAAGGTCGCCTCTGATGGCGTGCTCAGGTATCATAAGCCCCGCCCCTTCCATGTTCAGAAGTGGGATGCTGGAAAAGTTTTCAAAATAAAGATCTTTGTATCTTGTTTTGTTCAATTAGATTTTCTGGTGGTTTCTTTAGACCCTAAAGACGTATCATGTTGGGCAGCACGGTGGCACAACTGGTAGAGCTGCTGCCGCTCCGCAAGCAGGTCCCTGGTTCAAATCCCGGTATGGGGACCCTTCTGGGTGGAGTTTGCGTGTTCTCTACGTGCATGCGTGGGTCTTCTCCAGGTCCTCCAGTTTCCTCCCACCAGTGGTCGGATGTAACCAAGTACAAATACTTCGTTACTGTACTTAAGTACATTTTTCATGTATCTGTACTTTACTTAAGTAGAGTTAAATGTGGGTACTTTATACTTTTCTCCACTACATTTTACATCAAGTATCTGTACTTTCTACTACACTACATTTCTATAACGCGTTGCATTACAAGTTACATTCATGTTGCAGCTTTTTGATTTGTTTTTTTACTTTGAAAGTAACTAATGGTGAGAGGGGAGCTGGTCCAGTGAATCACTGCTGAGTGGGCAGGTAACGTTAGGCCCCGCCTTCAAGAAGAGCTGGACCAATGACATCTATTTTAGTATATGTCACTGAGCTGGGTGCACCTGCAGCACCACTAACACACTGAATGTATTCCACCTCAAGAGAGTCACCCAGAAGATA